GCGCAGGAATTACGCTCTGGTTCGGATAAGAAGAGTCCTCCCGCTGCTGGATCAAACCCCGCGCCTCAGTCTGGGTCGGCCGCTACGCAGAATCCTATCTGGGCGGTTGAGTTCAGCAAAGATGGGAGGTATCTTGCTGTTGGTGGGCAGGACAGAGTCATCCGGGTCTGGGCTGTGATTGACAGCCCAGAAGGACGCCGCGCGCATGAGAATGCTGAGAGCGATCCGCATGCCCACCTCAGCGCACCAGTCTTTCAGCAGAAGCCCGTCCGCGAGTACCAAGGGCATACGTCGACCATCCTAGACTTGAGCTGGAGCAAGGTATATCGAGATTGCTTGAGGCGTTAACATATCAACTAACAGCTATCAGAACAACTTTCTGCTATCCTCTTCAATGGACAAAACCGTTCGCTTATGGCACGTTAGCCGAGACGAGAATCTATGCACGTTTAAGCATTCCGACTTTGTTCCTTCCATTCAGTTCCACCCTACGGACGATCGGTTCTTCCTAGCTGGATCGCTTGACGCCAAGTTGCGGCTATGGAGCATACCCGACAAGAGCGTGGCGTTTTCAATCACCGTTCCAGACATGATCACATCAGTAGCGTTTACACCCGACGGGAAGACGTGTATAGCTGGTACACTTGGTGGACTCTGCATGTTCTACGATACCGAAGGACTGAAATGGCAGGCGCAACTCCATGTAAAGTCAACTCGTGGCCAGAATGCGAAGGGCAGCAAGATTACTGGAATCCAAGCGACATACTGGCCTCCCGGAAGCGAGAGTGGCGAGATGAAGCTCTTAGTGTCGAGCAACGATTCGAGGCTGCGCGTCTACAATATGAAGGACAAGACTCTAGAGATGAAGTTCCGTGGTCACGAAAACAACTGCAGTCAGATACGAGCTACCTTCGCTGATAGCAGTGGACACATCATCTGTGGAAGCGAGGATCGGAAAACTTACATTTGGTCGACGACATCTACGGCAGAGGGCGAGAAGAGGAATCATCGTCCGGTGGAAATGTTCGAAGCTCATAATTCTATCACGACGTGTACTGTCATGGCACCCATCCAAACACGGCAGTTGCTCAGCGCATCGGAGGATCCCATCTTCGACCTCTGCAATCCACCGCCGGTTACGCTAGTGTCAAAAGCCGAATCTGTGGTTTCATCGCGGGCGCCGACAGAGGCAGGTTCGGCCCTTCCAACACCTGCACCCACAGATACCAATTTCAAGAAAGCTGCGGAAAGCCCAGCATACGTTGCTCGCTCGGCGCATCGAGGCGGCAATATCATCGTTACAGCAGACTATACCGGAGCGCTGAAAGTGTTCAGACAAGATTGTGCCCGCCAAAAGCGCATACGGCTGAGCGAACAGTGGGATACAGCATCCATGAAGAGAATGTCGGGTATCGGTCGACCCAGCAGCATCATATCGCGGACTAGCCGATCACGGCGGGACAGTGTATCTACACAACCACCAAACGACCGGATCATGACATGGCGACAGAGCATATCGCACGCCAGCTTTGACTCAACGAATTCCCTTCCTCGTCGCAGCGCTTCACCTCGAAAGTCGTTAGCCGCTCTAAGCTTTCACTCGACACCCCACGAATCCCCCGTCCTACATCCTACGAAAACGAACGATACCTTCGACACCAAGCCTACAGGTACACCCAAGACATCCATCTCTATGGACCGCACCACCACATCTTTACGTAGTGCATCACAATCTGAAGCCTCGTCGCCGATCAAAGAGCCATATACTGTTACTGCTGACCCAGACGACGAAGCGAGGTCACAAGGGCAAAGAGCTAGCTCTACAAACCCTCTTGCTTTGTACAACGGCCAGAGCTGGCTCTTTTGGACGAACCGCGATAAGAGTGCTCTGACGGCTGGGAACAAGAAGGAAGCGGAAAGACCGGATTTGTTGGGTCGCATGAGTACGCTTAGTCAGATTAGTAGGCTGACGGATGAGAGGAGCGAGGGGGAGGGTGATGGCAAGAATTAATGCTCTGTGGGCATTCGCTATGGGGTTTGGAGTTTTTCACGTCATAAGTACTTTGTGTCCACGCGCACATAGTGGTCAGAAGTCATTGCATCACAATGAAGTATGCAGACGAGAAACTATATTCAGTTATCTTACCAACTTTCACGGGTCGGTCCTCATGCTGCAGTCAAGTGTCAACACCAAATTCTCATTCAAATGATACGAATCATCATATCACCAGGGACAGATCACAGAGGTTGCAATGTCATTTCCTAAATTTTGTACTGTTTTTTGATCTTGTCTATCGTTTTCCTTATTTTTTTTTTGGTGGACTGAACATGCTAATCGATGTTGGTCATGCTTCAGCGAACCAGTCCAACAACCGAAAAATCAAGCACCATCACTGCGGATCATGTCTGTGTCTAGATCCGCTGTTCACGTCCACTCTATCTCCTATACTAAGGATCAAACAAACAAAGTCTACACATGAGACACCATCATCGCCGACATGATAAACCGTAGCTAGTGAATGGCCAACCTACTGGATAGTAGGGATAGCAGAGAAGGCCGACGCGAAATCAGGAACATCGGTGATGAATTCTGTGCCAGTAGGCCTGACAAGCTGGCGACGATGACTGAAGAGGCGACGCCTATCGAAAGTGGCCGTCTCGTACTCGGGGTCCCAGTCAGAGAAGGTCTCCGGGGCGATGATAGGCGTGGTGAAGGAAGCGGAGGAAGAAGCAGAGGCGGTGGGAGTAGTGTACGTGGTAGTCTCCTTGACGGGATCCCAGTCGCTAAAAGTCTCGGGAGCGATGATGGGGTAGTCGAAGAAGGAAGACGGAGACGGCGTTGCAAGCAAGTTCTTGGCGCGTGTCGTGGTCGCCAGCGTGGTGGATGCGACCGAGGCAGACTTGTCGATGGGCAGGCAGGCCGCGAAGTCGTCGACGATGTGACGGATACTGTAGTTGGGTGAGCATATGTCAAGAGGAAGGAAGTGAGGAGCTTACCCGTAGGAGTCAGTCTCGGAGATGTCAATCTCATCGTTACCACGTAGCTGGCCAACGTTGGTAGCGAATCTGCGTTTCGGTCAGATAGAGATAACAGTAGATATAGTCAGTGGGATAGCTTACTCGATGGGCCAGTACTTGGAGAACATGGCGCAGTGCTGGACGACGGGCACGTTGTTGCGACGCTGCATGTACGTGTTGACGAAGTGGCACTGGCGGCCCGAAGCATCATTGGTCTCCTCGCAAGCGGTGATGCACCTCTGAGCATTGAATTTGCCGTCTTGCCAGTACCTCATGCCCATGTAGGTGTCCTCACCGTTGCAGTCAAGAGGCGCTTCGATGGCAGCACCGAGTGCGTACTTCTCGAGGGCATAGCCGGCAGGGACATCAGGGGTGACTACGTCCTTGACGTAGGCGTTGGCGCCAGCCATGACGACGTGGAAACCCTCACGGGTCTGACCGTCGTTGATGGCGATGCTGGGGAGGATGGTGCCTGACCACAGATCGCACTCTGAAGGTAGAAGGGAAGTTAGTTGATGTCTCACATACTTTTCGAAAGAAAAAACGTACTAATATGAGTCGTAGACTCAGGGTTGGGGCAGTGGATGCCGTGAGGAGCATGGGCGGGCTGGCGCTCGAAGAAGATCGTGAAAGCATTGCACTTGGCGTCGTTGTCGCACTCGGCAGCACCTGAAAGTAGTTAGTAAAGTTGTTGAAGCCATGATGCATTTGTCCGTGTGATGCCCTTCGGCACAGAGTTGTACTTACACTTGTCGACGTCGTACGAGTCCATAGTCACGTAGTGGACGAACTGTGATGGTTCATCGTACGTGGTGAGGAGGTTGGAGTAAGACTGGACGTAGCCAGGGGGAGTGACGGCCGATGATGCAGCATCGGAGAAGGGAGTGTAGACCTGGAAAGCCTCGGGGGTGTCTGGGAAGACTTTGGGGCCAGAGCCCGAGACGAGAGGCTCGCAAACCGACCGGCTGCCGAAGTTTGCGAAGACGGTTGCCATCACCATAGGAAGAAGTCCGAGAAAGTGGACTAGAGAGAACATCTTGTTTTTGATGTTCAATTTGTTGGTAGTAGATGGAGAGAAAAGAGATGAAGAAGGAAGGAAAGAGGAGGAAAAGGCAGTATCTATATGGATTCAGCAAGAGCTGTGCGAGAATGCTAAGACTTAGAGTATGGTAGATGACGAAGGCAAGTATCCTCTATTGCCCTTGTTGAGCTGGGTCGTGCCCACTTCATCCATATGCTGCAATCGCGAGGCCTTCTCAAGAACGAATTGGCGGAGCGAAGTGCCCACCTTGTGATGAACGCGCGTACTGTTGAACCTGAACTGCCTTCCAGGAACGAGGGCTGAGCGGTAAATCAACACAAGACGGCCCAGAGGCGACTTTGTTCTCCATAACGTGGACGGGGTTCCAGATCGTGACTATAAAGGATGGAGATCGTGCCTTCTTCGGGCACATTGCTGTGGATATTCGTGCAATCTTCCCTTCAACAAATGAACCTTCGAACGCGTATCGAGGCCTGTATAACCCGATTAACGAGGGTCAGAGTCCTTAAGATACAGCAGATCTATTGCAGTTATGTAAGAGTTCCCTACTCTACTGAGCCGTTACCTAGGGATGCAATGGTACGAGTGGATTATCAGTAGTACGGCTACGCTTGGGGTGCGATACGAGCATTGGAACGGAGCACATGCGCAACATATTCACCAACGCCTGACCTGAGCCTGAAGATCGTGGTGGATGTGGAAAGCAAGGAGGCAGCAGCTCGACGAGCGAAGGGTATTAGCTCCACTAGCTCCAGACCCGCCCAAAAACGTCATAGTCTCAACCAACCAGCGACGACCAGACCAACCAACATAGTACTCGCGAATAGCAGCAACAACTTGAGCAAGACCCTCTCGGATTTTTGGTCACGTCGCCTCCTTCCATTACGAAGGTTCCCACCCTCACAACCAGGAAACTAGAGATACGCGCAATTCCGTGGTCATGGGCCGCACCGAAAAATCTCAGGGTCTTGCGCCACCCGCCGTGCGCAAAGATATTCGAGCCAAACAAGCGCGGCACGTGGTGAACAAAGTCGTTCCTGCGATATTGGCATCAAATGCAAGAGCTAGGCGAGGTGCGGACGGGAGTGAGCTTATTCCGAACCCCGGGCCGAACGGCACGGTGGGGCAGGATAGTAAGAGTAGGGATGGTGCACGTGTTGAGGGTGGTGAAGATACGGGCTATGTGAAGAGAAAGGGTCAAGGGAGGCGGAAGGTCAAAGGTGGGAAAGACGATGTTGAAGAGGAGGATGCAAGGAATGGTGATGCGGGGAGAGATGCTGGCAAAGGAAGAGGAAAGGGAAGAGGCAAGAAACGCAATGATTCTCTCGATGAAGGGCTATCAAATCTCAATTTGAATAGTACTGCAACATCAACACCCGAACCATCTAGGAAAGCGCGATGCATACGCATGATAACGACAGATGCCCTCACAGCTGCACACATGCTCGCCAACCCCTCATCATACGATGCCACCACGACCACCACATCAAAGCAGACGTCGAAGAAACAACCAAACCCATGCATCTTGAACATGGCCTCTCCCCTCCGTCCAGGCGGCGGTCTCCTAACGGGCGCTACTTCCGCCGAAGAATCCCTCTGCGCACGCACAACCCTGCTTCCTTCACTCAAAGAATCCTTCTACCGCCTCCCCGAATACGGCGGCATATACACACACGACGCGCTCGTTTTTCGCTCGGCTCTACCTCTTGGAGACAGTGCGGGAGAACTCTCTCCGACTGAGCGCTGGTACGTCGATGTAATTAGTGCGGGGATGCTACGATTTCCTGAACTAGAAGGGGAAGAAGAGGAAGAGAAGAGATTGAGCAAGAAAGATAAAGAAATTGTAGAGAGTAAAATTAGAGGTGTAATGAGGATAGCGGAGCAGAAGGGTGTAAAGGGGTTGGTGCTTGGGGCCTGGGGCGTCGGAGCGTATGGCAATCCAGTGAAAGATGTTGCAGAGGCTTTTGCGAAGGTTCTGGGCGGTAGCTCTGCTCCTTCATATGGAGGCAAGAAGAACAGCAAGTCGCCATCGACTAGTGATGAAACCTTTCCATCTATCGAAAACATCATCTTTGCTATTCCCCAACGCAAAGTCGCCAACGATTTCGCAGCTGCGTTCGGCGGCAAGATCGAAGTCGAAGAAGGCCCTGGGACTTCTGCGGAGAATGACGAAGAAGAAGATGACGAGGAAGATAAGGTAGCGGAAGAGTTGAGGAGCAAGATCCAAGAGATGGACGGCCAGATAAGTAAGGTTTGGAATCCAGATCTGAAAGCAAGGCTTGGTACTATCCTGGATGGGTTGAAAGCGCAGTTGAGGGAGAGGGAGGGGACGCCTCGGACGGGTAGTGTGGATGATGATGAGGAGGAAGATGAAGACGAGAACGATGACCAAGACAGCGATGAGGATGAAGAAGATATTGAATGCAGCGATGAGGCAGATGCAGATGAGGACGATCAAGATCTTGTTGAGCATCAACGGACGAGATCAAGTAAGACAAGAGATGTGATAGATGATAGCGATGGCGATAGTCGTTCTTAGTTGGCCTCGTACGAAGTGGAGTTCTCATCACTAAAGATTATCGTCAAGATGTTGCTAGCAAGAATACATTGGTGGGTATCTCAAAACTTCTATATGCTCAAACTTTTATGTCTATATATAGCAGATTCCGATGCGTCAACACTCAAGCGGTCGCACTGGCAGCATTCGGTCCTTGCGACACAGCTGCTGTTTTTGTATCCTCGCTGCCGTTGGTGGGCTCATCATCCTCTAAGCCCAGCTTCTTGAGGTCCACGGCCAAAGGATCAGACTCCGCTGTGCTTTCCGTAGGGCCTTCATATCCAGGTGGTGGCAACGCCCAATCAGGCAAGCCGGTCTCATAATCCCACTTCCCTTCCTCACACCTGTATCGCCGTGCATGTAGGTAGATACCTAACTCGTGCACACCTGGATCGCTATACAGGTCTGTATCGCAGACTTTACATTTCTCCCCAGTCATGCGTTCCGCTTTCCTTTTGTTGTAAGCATCGACCATTTCGTCGTGGTATGCGACCGCGTCCGCGACTTCTTCCTTGCCCATGCGCGAGAGGCGGGACATGATGTCCTCGTCGTCTTCGTCTTCGGATTGTCCGCGGCCCAGGGCGGGGCCAAACACGCGCTGGTTGGCGTATATGGGATCGTTCGATATGGGATGACCGAGGAACTGGAGGTGGACGCGGAGCTGGTGGGTGCGGCCTGTTACTGGCATGCAGCGCACAATGGAGTAGCCGCGGAGTTTCTTCCACGGCTGACCGTTGGGGCCTGTCTCTCCATCCTGCTTCTCGCCATTGTTTCCATCGTCTTTGGGTGGGTAGTATGCCAGTCTTTTGAAGACCGTCTTCGCTTCCTTGCCGTTTGCGCGCACGCGGTTCAAACCGAGCTTCGGGCTGATCTGCAGGATGGGTTTCTCGCAGAGGATCTCTCCTTCTGGGAACTCGCCCACCACTCGTGTGATGTACTCCTTCTTGACCGTCCTCCCTCTGATCTGTGCACTCAACTCCTCTGCCGCCTGCTTGTGCTTGCCAATGAACATGATGCCGCTGGTGAGCCTGTCCAGCCGGTTACACGGCAACGGGTTCCAGGTATAGCCACGATCGGCCCTCATGATCTCGATGATGGAGTTGAAGTTGTAGCGGCCGGCGGGGTGGACGGGCATGCCGGCGGGCTTGTTGATGACGATCATGTTGTCGTCTTCGTGGACGATGCCGATGGGCTGCGCGGTGCACGGAGGTTCGTGCCGGTGGAGGGTGTGGGATATGACATCGCCATTCTTAACTATGGTCTTTGTGCTCGGCACTGGCTGGCCATTGAGGACTACGCGTCCCTCTTCTATGGCCTGCTTGTAGTACTCGGCTGGGCGGTCGCGGAACTCGCTAGAGAAGATGTCGAGAATTTCCCTGCCCCGCCATCTCTCCTTGCAGAAGGTGTTGTATGTGAAGTGGTAGGGCGTGACCTTGCGCAGGCCATCTTGGAGGTAGTATGGCGGCGGCCAGGGATCGCAGGGCGTGATTGCGACGGCGGGGGGCTCTTTCCAGGGAAATTTGTCGTCGGGCAGGGGCGGGTATTTGTCGCGCGGGGGCGAGGGCACTAGGGCCATGGAGGGAGAGCCTGTGCGAGTCTTGGGCACAGGCAGGCGGCCCTTGGAGGCGAGGTATGCGAGGATGCGCGGAGAGGGCGCCAGAATCGCGGGGTCGAGGGGTTGAGGTGCGTGTGGGAGAAATCCATGTCGCGCAAGCCGAGGCTGATGGGTGACGCAGCCAACTAGCCGGCCATCTCCATGTCCGAGACGCGTCTTCTCCCAACACCAACTACCATTAGAGACAACATGGCACAGCAGGCATTGAAGTCGCGTAGACGGGGCGACTACAAGTTTCAACTCGAGTACAGGACAAGATGGTGCGTTTTCTCGCGCGAGGCCCTTCTCGGTACTGACAGTAGGAAGGAGCGACAATGACATGTACCACCACATGAACAACAGCGTCTATTACTATCTGTATGTCTTCACCATATCATGGGATACTGATACTGACTATTGGAAGATTCGACTCCGTAGTCAACACATACCTCATCCAGCACTGCTCACTGCATCCACCCACCTCTCCACAGATCGGCCTCGTCGTACACTCGCACTGCGATTACCTTGCTCCAGTCGAGTTTCCTTCCGTCGTAGACCTCGCATTACGAGTCAACAAGCTCGGCAAAAGTTCCGTCACATACGAGATTGGTGTCTTCGAAAGGGGTCAAGAGGAGGTTAAGGCTGTTGGCGAGTTCATCCACGTTTTCGTCGACCGCGACAGTCGCCGACCTGGAAAGGATGGCATGAGTGACCAGCTCAAGACTGGTCTGGAGAAGCTGCTGACGGAGAAGCCAAAGCTGTGATATATCTTGGGGTTGGAGCTGCCGAGCTGTGCCTACAACAACACCAACGTCCCAGCCATGTTGGCTGTTTGGAGACCATTCCTACAGTCCTTGGAAGACAGCCGATCGCGATGTCGCAATCAACTAGCATCGCGCTACATGCTTTACGATCGCTCAATCCCGATGGTTACTATGATCGAGAGCCATCTGGACGCTGTAATTGCATGGCCTGTCCCATCGTACATGCAGCGCTCACCACCCGGAGCCGCTACATAGCACAGGACCAGGAGAAAATTGAGTACATCCACCAAGGTCTGGGTCAGGATCGGAGCGTATCGATAACTCGATGACATGGAGATGCTGTACTAGGGAAAGCGTGTGTAGGAGACCGCTTGTCAGACTTTGTGCATTGCCGGTGCTGGCAGCATGGCATATACCAAGACACGTCGTCGTCAACCCCAATTGAGAAGACATACCAATGTCATCAAGTAAATACAGGCGGGGTATCGGTTAGTCACACTTCGGCAATGTATTTCCGGTACTCCAAATCTACTACTTGCGTTGCGTTCCAGTACTGGCATGACGTTGTACAACATACCTCCTCACATCAAAGGCCATCGTACCTTGACGCAACCAATCGCCTCTTTCCTCATCTTCCATACCTCAAAGACACAACACCATGTCCACCTCCGCGATCCAAGGCCCCGGCATCCTCTTCGTTCGCTCCCGCATATCCCCCTCCGCCAACGACATACTCCCCGAGCCCACTTTTCTCGCCTGGTATGACAACGAGCACATCCCCGAAGTAGTCTCTACATCCGGCATCGACTCTGCTTTCCGCTTCGTCGATATCCACAAGTCTTCTTCTAGCGGTGACGAGCAAAACCCAAAGCCGTTCCTGGCCTGCTACCCCATGAATGATTTGGCTTTTACGCTCGGCGACGAGTTTAAGAAGATTGGTTTCAAGAGTAGTGCGCTACCTGGTAGTGGTGTGATCTATGATTTGGCAGACATGGATGTTAGTTACCTGGGCATTGTGGGCAAGACACCGAGCCGAAGAGAGGGCGAAAGACGTGGGCCGAAGTATGTGATCTCATCGGGTATCCGACCGGAAAAGCAGCCAGCAGAAGAACAAGTCACTGCGTTCTTCAAACAGGTATATAACCCCCGTACCATCACAGTCAGTATTCTATGTGGACTCGATACTGACATTAATATTCCAGCAAATCTCAACGCTCGAAAAATCACCACAGTATATGCGAACACTGCGCTTCAAGCTCCTCTATGCGAGGACGAATGCGCAATCTCGTGCTCTGAAGGGCTTGCCGACGACAGATGAACCGCATCCCGAGCCGTCGATTTGGATGGCTATGCATGAGTTTGTGGATGTACCGGATGAAGGCTTTTTGAAGGCGCTGGACGACGATGTGGACAAGGCTGCTGAAGAGGGTGGTTGGGGCGAGACGGAAGTTGAGACGCTTGTTTGGAAGCTAGATCGTGTGCATGGGAATGGGAAGTTCTTTGAGTAAGAACATAGTAGATTCAAGATGTTTACAATAAAGCTGTCCTTTTGCGATGCAAATGATGAATGCGCCAAAGATACTAAGCGATACGTGAATCGCTACAGATATCCCGTCTTTCCTTTCGAAACGATTTCTTCTTTTTACGGTACAAGATCAATACCACTCAATGTTCATGTCCATGCTCATGATCATGATGATGTCCATCCCCCTCCTTCTCGTCCCACGGATGTCCCTCACCAACGCCCTCCCAAGGATCACCCTTCCACGTCATCCAAGTCTGATGCGCCCTAACATTCGCCTCCAGCTCTCCACACCTCCTCTGTTCCCAACTCTCTTTCCCTGCCACAACAGCCCAATGCCTCTGCGCCCTGCCCGCCCAGTACTTCGCCCGATCTTCAATTCCGAAACTACTCCACGTGTACGCTAGGATCTCTTCGTACTGGGGTAGTTCGGTCAGGAGACCTTCCTCTTCGAGATGCTCAATGAGTTTGGGGAGAAGGCCGAGAAGCTGCGGTGAATCTTCTGGGTCGGTGGGTAGAACGGATTTCAGGGCTTTGATCTCCGAGAGGCGGTCGTTGGATGCCATTGTTGCGTCGTCGTCTGCCGTGCATAGAGGGCAGGCGCAGGTGAAACCGAAGTTTGCTTCTATAGACTTCACGCGACGCCGGCGAGCACGTCTTTCGAAGCCATCTATGCAGTGGTTAGATTCATGGTTTAAGAACGCTCGCTGGTGGACAGTCACTCACAGCTTCTCGTGATCTCTTCTCCTGGCTTAATGTCCTTGAGAGCGAAGACTTCGAATGAGAGAGTGTAGTCGTCGAACCGCCATAGAGTATTTGGTCGACAAGCATGGTTGATGCGCTGTATCTAAGTTAGATTATGTTCAATGGTAAGCCTATCATTCATGACTTACAGCAGCCTCGGGGATGACTGCTAGAAGCTCCGGCAGCTCATCAACCCATGGCCATTTCACCCCAATGCCGTTGGTCGTGACAATGTCCTCGACAGTGCCATCCACATTGACATCCAATTTCTTGACCATCTCTCTAGTTTTTGTCGGCAACTGGTCGACTGCCTGCTTCAACACGAGTTGTGGCCTCGGCATATCCGGCATCTCCAGTATCTGCTTAGCGACGAACAGCACAGGAGTCTGCACAATCAAGCTCTCGCCTGGAAAGATTCCAGCGATGTCTTTCTTCGCAAACAACCCTTTTCCCTTCTCTCCTGCGTATTTGACCTCCCACATACCCATCTCTTCACCCACCTGGCCTTCCATGCCCCCAATGCTCATGCCAAACGTCTCCATCGTCACGCTAGCCGCGATCTCGGGACTCACAACGAAGCTGATTCCGCGACCGTTGTTGTAGTCAACATTAGTGTACGCGCAGAACGTTTGATGAGCACCTAATCCTGTGTTCTCGCTCGCTTCACTCGGTAGCACGACGTCCACGCATGTAGGGTGATGCGTCCATGGGAAGGTATCGGAAGTGTAGCCATCCTGGGCCACGGGACAAACTGTTGCAGGTTTATTCATAAGGCCATCTTGAATAACGGGACTGCGTGCTGTGTAGAAAAGTTCCGTCCTGGCAGTTGACGCGCATAGGAGTGCGGTCGAGACAGCGAAATAACTGGGTAGATACCGTCGCCGCGGCCATGTTGCTGTGACCATCTTCCAAGCTCTTTACTTTCTTGTTTTCCTTAAAAGATGCCGAAAAGGAAAAGAAAGATCAAAGAAGCCAGACGTCGACATCCTCGACGTCGGAAGAATTAATCGCGCGAGATAGGAAGCCACGTTTCACGAGTAATCACGAGTAATGATCTCCGAAACCCCTGCTGCTGAAACGTGCTGGCTGCTTGGCGGTTGCGTTGCGCCTGCATCTAGATTGTCTTGGGGATGCATGAGGCCAGTGAGGGTTTGGGGCTGTTACCGTCGTTTGATGAGATACATGATCCGGCAGGATGGTTGATGTGGGGAGGACTAGCTTCAGCGCCGGGAGAGTCGGTTGAATGGCGCACGTGAGCTGCGAGAACATCGCGCCTTCCCACTCTCCATAAGCGAGGTTGTTATCCGACGGACCACGACTTTATCGTATGATATGTACGGTATGCTCTGATTCAATTTTCGGCAGGTGCGATCCTTCCAATGGATCTCACGTCTGGCAGGGGCAACATGCGCACACTGCGAGGTTGCGGCTTGAGGGCTGCACTTCGACAGCGAGCGTCTGGCTTGCGCAGGCCAGACCGACGCCAGGGACGATAATATGAAGGTTTTACCATCTCAAGTGGGCTTGACCTCAAGAGCAATAGCAATCACGACCTTTAACAAGCTGCCCAATTGCTTGCAACACGCGCAACAAACTCGCCCAAGTATAAAGCACAACCTGGAGCGCTCTCCACTCTGCAACTAGCACCCTCAGTATCTAACATGCCTTCAAGAGATCCGCTCCATGCTCGCATCGTAGAGTTCATGGACGTGACTTCCAATCTGACCATCGAAGAGAAGAACCAGCTCGCGAGTAAGTCGTCTGGGCGTTGCTGTCCCCTTCCGCGGACACCCAGTACACAAGAGCTAATATGACTAGATGATCTCCGCTTCATCATCACCGTTGTTAAAGGGTTCGTCGATACCAATCCACTTTCTTTGAATCTTGCCCTGGAGTGTAATAGTCATGGCGAGTTTCGCATGCTCTTCGTTCGCGATGATCAGTTTATCTTGGGGAGGACCACGAATACGCGCAATGCGGCATTGGATGGTTTACGACGGACAGTGGAGGAGTTAATTGATGTGTTTGTGTCGCGTAACTCTGTCAAGCTGCTGGTATAATTGGTACTATCAGATGAACGCTATCACATCAGTTTCCACAATTTAGTCTCCTTGCAACCTTGACATGTACTATCCCCGCATCTTCCGCCTGTGATGCTCGACCAAATCATTCTCCAGCACCATAACAGCGTCGAAATGATTCTCCCCGACAGCCTTCGCAACAAACTTCTTCTCTTTCTTTCCATCCACGTATAAGCTCGCCTCCACGGACTTTCCGTCTCTACTGCTGATGATCAAGAACTCCTTCTCATCCCTGACGCCGAAATCAGGTCCGTATATGGCGCGACCTAACAACTCATCAATATTGTAAAACAACGCCAAACTTGGACAAACGCCAAACTCACCAACAGCCATCTTGCCCGCCCTCGCTAACCAAGCCATAGCGAGCGCCTCTCGCTTATCAGGTACCCTTTCACCCTTCTGCTTCGCTAGATTTCGTATATCCCGCGCCGTCTCCTCGTCTTCCTTGTCTCTCTCCCATTCCAGCTCGCATTTGACTCTTGGCCTGATGTTCAGGCCGCGGTCCATGTCGGAAGAATTCCATGTGAAGTGCTCATGTTTCCAGTCGTTTGCTGGTGTTCTGAATGAGCGGTGTTCGCGGGTGCGAGCGATTTCTGCGGGGTTGTCGACAGCGCGGATGTGCGTGAGATAGTGGCTAGATGACGACGGTGGTAGAACTTTCACGGTGATGTGGTATGTTGATGCGATCAAGGCTGCGCCGTGGAGTTGTGCGGGGCTGGTTGGCATGGTTGCGCTTCGGGTGTTGGGAAGTATGCGGCGATTGGAGATGTTGGGATCTGCTAGTAGTCAACAGTAGTTGGATTAGTGTGAGTATTAAAGTCAGAAACCCATAGTAGCCACATAAATAGTCCGCTCAGTCAGTGAATTCCATTCCTACTAGCTGGCTGGTGAAGTGTCGCAAACGCTATGCGAACGCGGCTTCAGCAATGCACAAGCTCGCACTACATGCCATGTCTGTTTGACAGCTAAAAAGAGCTTCAAGCATTGTGTAGTTTCACATTCCATGTCCCACCTATTGAAGTTGCGAATCGTGATGCTTGCTTGGCAATGATAATTGCGGCGTAAAAAGGATAGGATCACTCCACGCGACGCGTTATGTGTATTTGATTAAGCAAGTTCTTAGGCAAGTACTAGACTGTCTGCAGGGTTGACTAGTGCGGAAAGATACGTCCTAGAGCATCTTCTAAAGATCATAGTCATTCCTCACAAAGTAAAGAGAGTCGTAATGGCATATCGTGTAAAGCTGTTAAAAAACGTTCACCAGTGACGATTCTCAGAACTACGGGTTATGCCAGTCCCACGCTGAGCCATCATCTGAAGCAGTACTCACGCCATTGGGAAAAGCTACATGGGGCAACTCCTAGTACCTGCCGCCTGGTGGCGGTTGGCCATACTGCTGCTGACCTGGGTATCCACCGGGGCCTCCTTGGGGCGGTCGCTGCTGACCATACTGACCTGGTGGAGGTGCTTGTTGACCGTAGCCTTGTGGAGGTGCGCCGGGTGGAGCACCGTATCCTTGGGGCGGATGCTGACCAGGGGGAGCACCGTAACCCTGGGGTGGCTGCTGCCCATAGCCTTGCGGTGGCTGTTGACCATAGCCCTGGGGTGGCTGTTGGCCGTAACCTGGAGGGGGTGCGCCATACTGGCCGGGTGGTGCGCCGTACCCGCCAGGCGCTGGGTTGCTCTTCTCGTCCTTCGAGTCGTAGCTTCGATCAATCGCACCGAGGAGAAGCTTGATGATCCAAAGATCGGGAGTCAGGTCCACGGGAGGGTTGGCACGCATCATCTCTTCCTGTTCGTTTTCGAAGTCTGATTTTCAGTTAGCACAGGTCTGGTCTGGAATATTTGGAACTTACTGGATGTGCAGTCAACCATAGGGCCAACCTCAGGGTCCTCATCAAGCCGACTGAGGAATTGCCTGGCAGTCGTGTCGTTTCCTACTTGAGCAAACTCGAAGGCGACAGCGCCACGCCCGTAGGGGGTCGACTGGAGCTGTCTGTAGGTCTCCTTGATGACTTCAAAAATCTTGGATGAAGCTTCTCCCGCCGGCTGCCCATCGGTGATGGCGATGACCAATACCGGCTTCTGCATCTGGCCTGAGCGTGCCTTTGGAATTACTATCTCCTGGATTACCTTCTTCTCCATCGAAGTACCCATGGGCGTGAGGCCCTTGAAGTTGACGCCGCGCATGATCTCTGCGACCTGCGCCTCTGTTGCGACGCCATCTTGGAGAGGTCGGCCCTGTTGGCTGCGAGCGCCCGAAAGATCAGTGTTCATGCAGCGGACAGAGATGCCATCGTTATCGAAGAGAGTTGCAGCAAAAGAGACTCGGTCCAGAATAAGGCGCAAGTCTGTTATACGGCTGCCTTCCTCTTCGAACTGCATGGATCCACTGTCATCTAGTAGGTGTCAGTTTGGTCAGCATTCTCGAATTGAACGACTTACCGATGTATAGCACGATGTCGTAAAGTGCTAGCTTAACGATGTCATTGGCAATCTCCTTTTGGATTTTCCAGCGCGAGATGACTTGGTTGATCTTGGAGGGAGCTTGTTGGGCAATCTGGTCAAGATTCTGGCAGATCGGAAAGTTCTGGAGGCCCTTCTCTTGAATGCAAGCTTGCAAAAGCTGCTTGTAGCCCGCAATCTCAGCTGGTCCGGCCTGGACCTGTTGGGGAGGGGGCGGGCCGCCGCCATATCCTCCTTGTGGTGGAGGTGCGCCATACTGGCCCTGCGGAGGCTGTCCTGGTGGTCCACCCTAATATCACGTTAGTCTCTACACAAATCTTTGCGGAAAGTCACTAGCTCTGCGTCTTTGCTCATACGTGGGTTTGAAAATCGAAAAAATCTAAATTAGTACGAACATTCGGTTGGAAAGAGGGCTGCTGGCCATAAGGTTGGCCATATTGCTGCGGCGCCTGTCCATAAGCGGGCTGCTGTGGTTGACCCCATTGGCTTTGCTGCTGGTGAGGCTGTTGTGGTGGTTGCTGTCCATATGGCGGCGGGACCTGTGGCTGATTCCATTGCGCGGGGGGCGCTTGACCTGGTTGTGGGGACTGTGGGAATGTCGATTGAGAATATGGAGATGAAGGCTGTTGTCCTGGCGGCGGTGGCGGGGGTCTGCTATACCCTGACTGCCCTTGTGGATATGGTGAAGATGCGCCATATTGGGTGGGAGCTGCGGGTTGCGCAAAAGGCGACTGCGGCGGCGCATACGAACCAGGACGCGGAGGCATAGGAGGACCAGGCTGTTGTTGTTGCGCATAAGGATTTGGCGCCTGCCCGGCGTTGGGCTGATAGGCAGTATAGCTAGATGACATCTTGCTTGATAGAGGCATGTGTGGCTAGGTCCAGGAACGAAGTGTGGCGGAAAAAGTCCAGAGTGGATGCCGGGCGTGCGATAATTTATTGGTGCCAAAAGCAAGTGGAGAACTAGGGAAGAGGCTTGCGAATGCCCAGTCTTAAGTGGCGGGTAGAGAAGGGCGATGACGACGCAGAGCAAGTGACAAGAGAAAGAAAGAGCTTTGGGCTTACCCCGGGAGCACCGGCACCTTGGGCACCTGGATACGCTTGATACTGTGGCTGTCCAGGCTACGTTGCATTAGTGAATCATTGCCAACATTACCTTGCACCTGAAAACTTACGTAGCCACCCTGTCCACCTTGCGGAGGATAGCCAGACGCAGCTTGAGCTGCTGCCATCTTACTTGCGAGCTTTGTTACGAATCAGCCACGAATGACGCATGCGGGGTATAGAGGGGCAGCCAAGGAGCTGGCCGATAACATACACCCATCTTACTATTGACGTGTAGAGGTTGTAGTAGGAGATTGAGGATTGAGGATGTCGGACAAGGCTGAATTTGGAGATGAAATCAGACAAGGTTGAGATGGAAGGTCGGGTTATAATGTATGCCTTGCGATACCGTTGGAACAACCTTGGAAATGGCCGACGCTGACCATCAGCTAACGCCCACTCAGCCCCAGTGGAGCCGCTGCACCGCCCTCACCTGATGACGTTCCTATTGGCCAACGACACATGGCCATTATTCATTTGTGCATCGTGTTTGTTGGTTACGAATTGTGGGAACGCGTGAGGCTGTGCTTGGTGCTTTCGGAAAACTGACGCCACGAGGCCCACGAACGAGCGGGGCGTCAGCAGGCAGCCGTAAACCTAGATACCGTCCAATCACCTTCCGGGCATGTGAATTTGCCGGTCAAGAACTCTACTGCGCCTCCAACCGATTGCAATGATAGTCACGACCGCATACACATCTATATTGCACTCGCAGCTCACAGGGCACTCTGTGCGGGTGGTGCCTGGAGTTGTGCATCTAGGTACCACTACCTAGGTACCTCTTGACGCGCTCATCTTCATATTAGTGTCTACTAGCCCAGCTGTCAAAATCCTCGCGCTTGGCTTCACGATAGTTGTTTTCATGTATCTGGCTAATAATGCCAGACGCGCTGGCCTGGACGATGGCCCACTTGCATACTATTCGGAAACGCGACAAACCGGAATGAAGGCTGCGAATGAACACTCGCCAAGTAACCAATACACAACGCGTGAGAATGGATGTGTTTTGACATCCGGAAGACCTTGCACAGTCCTCATTGAAGATGGACGGACCATGAAATAGTGTGACGTAAAACCATCAACTCGAAAGCGACATGTCAGCCACAAACGACAGGAAGAAAGTGAATTTACATATCTCCGTCTATGCCTTGTAGCAGCCCCAACTGAGCGCATCCCCATTGCACCGAGCATACACTCCAGCACCATATTGGTTAACGCATGCCCGAGGAGTGTCGACACCCGTCTTGAAATTTGTATACGCATCCCAGCACTTCCAACCGTTGCATGTACTATCAAATCGAAGAGCTCTCCACTGAGGTCCAACCTCCTTTATACAATAAGCGTCCATGTTAATGCCCTAAATCATCGATGTCTGAAATCAGTGTTTGTCTCACCAAGATTGTTCTCATGGGAGAATTTACCCCTAGGTATTCACCTGATGCTGCTGCGGCAGTGGCGGGTTCGGCAAGGGCTGCTGGGGCGGCAATTGCTGGTGCAGCGAAGAGACCGAAGCTGATGATTACGCGGAGAATAGTGATGTGAGTGACCATGTTGGCGGCTGTGTTCTGAGGGGAATCAGCCATCGTAAGGGTGAGCGTGTATACATTGAAGTTTATATATCGTAGACTGTGCTAAAGGAAGGGACTCGTTACTATGACATACTTGATGAAGATCGCTGAGGACAGGCGTATGGTATATAGCTGTTTCAATCTATGAAGGGTCTGTTGCGTATTGACCGAATGAATAGGGGTAGTGAGGAGCTGTTCGAGGTGAAGAAAAGGCGTTCTTATAGCAATTCTTTCATCTTTGAACAGACGCTTCTATTAGGTCGTCAAGGCGTAAGGCGTATTCTTTGTCGCCCGGCTCGAAGTATTGGATTAGAGCATCCTAATCGCAGGCTAAAGTTCTGGGGCGTAAGTTGAAGTGGCACAGACCGGCATGCGATGCAGTCTGGTGGAGTGCCGTTCATGCTGACATGCAGCATAGCTTAGGAAAGACAGGTGAATCTATCGACAGGCGGCCCAATCCTACGTAGCAAGTCTACTGGAGCTAGATGCACTTTGTAGTAGATAGTTTCGAGACAGTTACGCTTATGTATCTGTTTTGGGCTTTGGCGTTGACAGAGTTTCGAGCCTGGACGGAGGCGAACTCGGATGAGGAAGGTCTTGAGGTTAGGCCCTCCGTAGGATTCGAGCGCGGAGCCAGCCGAGCACGCAGGGACTTGCACATCAACCGTAGGATTGGTTCTTTCTAATAGGCTTTTCTGTCGATATTAGCGAAGGCTGATGAAGGATGCTCACTACAGCATCGTCTAAGGTTTGTGGTTAGGAAGTGTGCCGCTTGCAAGGGAAAAACCCACCAATCGTTGCTTGGGTCGCGACATTGCAGTAAACCTCTGAAAATGTACCTGTGTCGCGCATTGGAAGCGGACAGACTCTAACGACAGGCCATGTTTGAAATCATCGCTAGGTTTCCACGTGTATCTCGTAGTGGTGCAGAATGAAAGAAACTCTACGATAGAATATAGCAGAAGAAATAGTGGTTTGCCGCTCGGATCTAGATGTCCGTCAAATAAGCAGATACGCATTCTTTCTGCTCAGTACGGCCGTGCTACCTCATGTATTACTCGAACTGATTCCGGCTAGGATCAGGCGCAGCGTATCCTCTCCTGAAGAGGAAGCTCTGCAGCCTATCCTCAACTCTCGCAAACTATGGAATCGTTAGCCTCAGAGACATTATTTGTAACTTCGTTAAGTCACTATTTTAGGTTGCGCTCTCTGAGCTGAAGCACTTACAAAACCCCGGCCCTGTACTCCATCTCTGACCCATACCCCATATCCACCCATGAGGTTTGCCATCATGACGTCCGTAGACAGGCGGTCTCCTACTATTGCAATTTGATCTGGTCTGGTCACACCAGAGTCTGGATGCGCCCTGAAGTAAGCCATGACCTCTTCCTTACAGCCAGGCTTCTTGGTGGTATGTCGCAACACTTTGACACCGGTGTTGGCCTCCAAGACATCGGCCTGGGCATAGTTCTTATCGGATGATGTGCCAGCTGTGTTAGACACTATCAAGAGTTTTGAGCCTGGATAAGCGCGTCGCAGGCGCTGGAAATGATCCTGAAATGGTGATTAGTAACGTTCTGGGCGGGAAAGGCGCATAGCAGTACTTCATATGGCTTGTAAATCTCATCGGTATGTGGAACAGCAAAACAGTTGTCTTTGTCGAGCACTACAGCTTGGATGTCTACCTCTTTCTGCTCGTTGACCCCATCCTTCCTAAAAGCTTTCGACAAGGGAATGGGCAGATGATTGAATGTTGAGACCGTATGCTGCGGGAGACAAAGAGTCGGATTCCAAATCAGCCGAAAGACGTTCAAAGTGCCCGAGATGTTCATTTGGGATGCAGCGTGGTATGATTGCGATGGTGGAACTGGATGGTGACGCGCTTGTTGCGCGCTGCTTTTCGAGAGATGTTGTTTCCGACGGTTCCGATATCGTTCCGAGCAACTCTCGAGACCGACCGCTGCAATCAGTACCAGCGAACTCCGCTTAGCCTACCTATACGTTTATTCAGGTCGAAGACGCAGAGTGTTATCAGTGTTCAACAGGGTTCTGTCAGTTTTCGCTGCGCTACGGGGGAGCGTACGGCTATGTCATGGAGAGGAGAGAATATGGTATCATAGACACGAGGAATACAAATCACAGTACATGACAACGTGCTGATATGAGATGGATGCAACTTGATAGGGTGTAGCTTGAACAGACATTGAGTTCTTGATGAGGAGCAGGCACCAGAGAGCGATGGTATGATGACTAAGACATGGTCCAAGCTCAACCTCAACTTTCTGTAGACAGCGATATTAGCACCGCGCACGCGCTCTGCACCCACGACACCCAAGACTGCGCCGCGCACTATTACTGACGACTCCTGCCTACCGAGAAGGCGACGAAACCCACGAGATACAAACGCGCCCCGAGTGCGATTTGCGACCACGACACGAAGTCTTCACTTGTTGCGATCTACCACTATCCTACGGCTTCGAACGCGCGAAGGACTCAGCTAGCAATACCAGTCAAATTGGCTGAGAATCTATACAATAAAAATGACGAGCACTATCGGTATCCCAATCAAGCTCCTCAACGAGGCAGCAGTACGTTCACCGTCAATTCCTCTACCAGTACCTAAGCCTGCGCTAACAGGTCCCAGGGTCACATTGTCACGCTCGAGATTACATCTGGCGAAGTCTACCGCGGCAAGCTGATTGAGGGTACGTTCCCATATATTTCTTAGCTCTTAGGCATCATGCTAACAGCTGCAGCCGAGGACAACATGAACGTACAGCTGAAAGACATCACTGTAACCGCCCGCGATGGCCGTGTCTCACATCTCGAACAAGTCTACATCCGAGGAAGCCATGTGCGGTACTTCATCGTCCCAGACATGTTGAGGTAAGATCCAATGCCTTATTGGAAGGAGACAGGCACTGACAGGTCACAGGAACGCACCCATGTTCCGATCGAGAGGCACAAGGGGCCGCGGTGTTGGTCTTGCTCGTGGAAGGGCCACAGTCAACAGGGCCAGGGCCAGCACCCGCGGCGGCGGTCGATGAACGAGCTGAAAGTTACGGGCGAAAAGACAACACAAGCAGAGAGCATGCTACCGGAAGCGCAGCAGCAGCGAGGACGCGCCATTTGGTGCGTGGACTAGACAATGGAGGGAAGGACAGGTATGCAACCAGATCGTTCTTGCTGGACATACGCTGAAAATTGGGATAGCTCCAAATTTGATGATACCTTTGAATGGGATGAACGCACATTTTCACATCGTCAAAATTAGCGCGTGTTGAAGAATGACCAGCGGCTTGTGAAGTGAAAACGCAATCAGGCGTAGTCGCGAGTGCAGATGTCTGATAGTCCCTGCGGCAGACGCCTACCCCACGTCGAAAGGCGAGACCCCCGAGAACTCCGCAACTCGACACTTTTTCCACCAACACAACATGGACATGGAAATCAAGAACCCACGGCGCATCCTCGCTATCGGTGCGCCGGGAGCAGGTGTACTTCCACTGCTGAAGGGTACTTGATACACCCTCTGCATTACGCGCATCTACTGACTCGACTTAGAACTCACAGGTTCCGCCCCCGAGCCGACCTCCGACACCACGGCCGGCCTTACCCACGGATGGCGTCTCGAGACCAAATACTACACCGCGAATCTTCCCATATGGATTGATGAGCTCAGCAACGTCGCGGAATGGCGCACCGAATTCACCAAGCCCGAAGCTCGCGAGGTCGTCACTGCGCTCGGTGCGTGGATATACTGCTTCAAGAAGCCAGTCGAAGCAAAGGATCTGGAAGTGATCAAAGACACCATGCAGGCCGTTTCCGATATCATCGAGCGGGCCTGTGGTTATGGTGGTGACATGGTTTGTTTGGCTGTCGCGATGCCGCAATCCATCACACCTTACCTTGAGAAGAGCAATGAGGACTGGGAAGAACTCGCCATGGACTATGGTTTCGAATACGTCGACTCGGAGAAGAAGGGCAAAAACGAGTTTGGCGAGGCGACAGGAATAGATAGAGTGCGGGAAGCGCTTGAGGCTGGGGAATGGGAAAGCATGGCGGGCCTAGACTTGGGCGAAGATGACGACGGTTTTGAAGGCAGCTTTGCGGCAGAAGAGGCGGAGATGAACATGGAGCTGTTTGGGATGAAAGGTGCGCTAGCCGGGTTCGACGACGATGAAGGTCAGGAACCTGGAGACAAAGAGGTCGAAGACCTGGAAGTCATGATGCAAAAGATGGTTGCGATCAAGGAAATGGGCGAGGGCATGGAAGAGGCCGAGCGAAAACGTTTCGCTGCAAAGGCAGTGAACGACCTGCTGAAAGATTTATGATATGAACAGATCTGGACTGCCACAGGCACTGCCGAGCACTATCGTAAATGCCAACCTACCAGCGACTACTTCAACTCTTCACGCCGAAACACAGCAAAAACGGGAAATCCATCTCTCTCACCGGTCTCCCATCCTCAGCATCAACCTCCTTCCGCAGAACAAAGGCCTCGTCAACCCTCACCTCATTAAACCCTGTCCCTAACAACAACTCTTCCATCTCGCTTTTCTTAATCCCATGTCTTTCCACTCCGGGCCTTTTGCTCACTGGATGGAATGGCACAGCCTCGGGTCCAAAGTCCTCATAGTCCGTTAACGCAACAACACCTCCGGGTTTCAAACACTTGTGCATAGTCGCTAGGATCTCTGCCATTGACGGGATATGATGCAGCGTCAGGTGGGAAACCACAAGATCAAATCGGTACGAGTAAGGTGGCGATGGAGCCTCTCCTCGATGGGTGGCAAGGAGCGCTGCTGCGGATTGCAATTCATGCGAGTCCGGGTTCGTTAGGAAGTGGTTCACTGAACAGAGATTTGGGTGGTCTGTTGGAAGATCCGCAAGCTTGGTGTCGAAGGCGCTAATCATGCCATCTGCGGTGTCTACGCCGATGAGGCTGCGTACGTGTGGAGCTAGCATGAAGGACATGAGGCCAGTTCCGCAACCAATTTCGAGTACGTCGAGATCTGTGATGGTCGTCAGTTTAAGAGCGGAGTGGTATGGCGGCATGATAATACCTTTGTTGCTTCCATCTTTGAATGCGGGCACATAGCGCTTGATGGCCTCGAGTGCTTTTGAAGTTGACTCTACATGCTTCTCATTCGAATCCCATTCTAGTGCTTCCTTGCTGAAGCGCGCGTTGTTGATCTCTTGACTAGTTGTCATGACGTTGGTGATGTGAAAGTTAAAGATTATGTGCTCTCGAGAAAGGACCGAAAGGTACTAGTAGCAGTCGTGCATGAACAGTCGTAAAGCAATGCTGGGGTGAGTCGTGATCAATACGTATATGCGATCGTGTATACGTAGAATGCTGTGCGGGGTTTGCGGGCATGATGCGGGGCGCTTCCGTCCTGGGACGACCGACAGTCGCGATTTCCTGTAACTGCGTCGCGAGCCACAAATGATCGAGATCTAGTTCATTCCTCCAGTAAAATCGTCTGGTTTGCCAGCTGCTAGTGTATATACGGCAGAGCAAGCAGTCAGAAGATCGAAGTGCTCAGCCTCCACGCAGGAGAGGCTGTGCAGCAATGCCTTCTCTAACTGAACGCCCAGGCTGAGTCTCAGCCGGATCGTTGCTGCCTCGCTCTTTCGTTTCACATCTCTCAGACATCCCAAATGCGAATCCCATTAACCTAGCACAAATATCGGCTTCTGGTATCCTCCACTCTGCTATGATCGAATGAGCGATTCGAGCTTACTGCAGTATAACATTATTGTACGAAAGAGCATGAGAGAAGATGGCAGCCTTGGGTTACACACGGCTGGATCGAAGTAAAAAGACCATCCGCCTCCTCACTGTAGCACCTGGTGAGCCGGAAGAACGAATTCGCTGCGAACTCACGCATGCTGATCTGGACGAGCAACCTTCATTTATCGCCTTATCGTATGCCTGGGATCAAGGCGGCGGATACGACGAAATCGAATGCTGTGGTACGACCACTCAAGTTGGAAAAAATCTTCGCAATTTTCTCCATCGTTTTCGAATATGGGATGAAGGTCGCGGAAATCAGCTATGGATCGACGCGTTATGTACGTGCTAGATGCGGCAGGGCAGAAGATGAGTGTCGATTAGCTGACTGAAACCGGAAGGCATCAATCAGAACGACGTACCTGAGCGCAATCATCAAGTCGGCCAAATGCGCAATCTATATTCCACAGCTACGTCTGCGATTGCGTGGTTAGGCGAAATGAGTAGCAATTCGGATCTGGTCTACTCAGCTATGTTCGCTCCACGAGACTGCGTCGGAAACGGTGATGATGGCACACGCCAAGAGCTGGTAGTTCTCCTGAATCGACCATACTGGTCGCGCTTTTGGGTCATACAAGAGTTCCTTCTGCCTATGAACTTGAACCTATGGTGGAACGGCTACCGTGTGAAAGTGCAGGACCTCTGTTCGGTCGTTCGGACCATTACCGGAAACAGGTTGCGTGGCGGGTCATTGTCCCCTTTCATATGGAACACAACTGCAAGCGAACTACTGCGCTATAGGGAAATCTATCAAGGAAAGGGTCTTAGGAGATACTTTCAAGAGATGCCCGACTATTTCCATCCAACTCGTTCTCGAGAGCTTCGGGAGACGTTGAGATTGCGATCTCTATTAAATTCTTTTTCCAGATCTCAGTGCACCCTAAAACATGACGGAGTGTACGCCTTGTTAGGCATCGCAAGCGATGTCACCAATCCGTCGCATCCAATATTGCCGGACTACAATAAACCACTAGAGGATTTACTCTTGGATGTAGTACGCAACCAGTACGGAACGAAGGTTCCTGAAGCCGGATATGCATGGGCTTTCGTCCATCAACTTTGTGATCTATTCAGACTGAACCGTCAGGAGATGGAGGATGCCTTCATCAGAGCTCCGAAAGTTGAACGAGAGAGGCATGCTCTCGATCCCAAAAATCAAATTGCCATGTCTTACGATTGGCATGGCACCGTTTCCTTGCAGACTCCCAACCTGGGTTCTCCTAGAAAGTTGTTAGAGGGGACTATCACAGCAATGGGGAGGGAACCAGGCTGTTTGGCGGCACTGCAGAACCATATAGATTACTATACGTTCCCGTATCCGATTGGGAATCTGCTCAGAGAAGGCATACGAACCCGTGGCATAGCTTCGATTCAACCCCGGATCGGCATGTGTGGCTCCGCGATGGTACCGTCCAATTATCAGATAAAGAAGCTACCTAGTACAGATCTACCTCGCACTTCTCAGATTGAATCTTTGATTGTAAAGCTCTGTCTTGAAGAGTGGGTAGCGTTCTCCGGGACAGAGATGATGGGAGTCAAGAGTCCAACGAGCGGTAAGGACAGTTCCATGTGCGATCACTGTAAACGCCATGGTCAAATAATTGCTTCCAATCGCTGGTTTGGAAGATATGGGACTGCAATAGTATTGGAATGCCCGGGATGTCAAGGTCATGGAAATTACACGCTTTGGAGTGACAATAGTCGCCAATGGCGTATAGTAGGCACCGCTTTTATATCTCAGCCAGAGGCAGCTAGCTTTCACGAATAAAGCATGCAATCTTTCGCAAACACATCTCAGTGTTTCGCATAGTGGAGACTTGGTCGGAAGATGTGACCGTTAATGAGCAGGTACGGCAAGGAAGCAAGACGTACTGTCTCATCTACGTGCGCCAAAGGTAGCAGAGCGTCAGAGAACAACGAAACAACACCCAACCGTTCTTCCGCCACTCGCCCTTCCTTAATTTACTCATACTCCTCAACAAACCCACGCCTACTCCTGCCAAAAAGCGCTTCAATCGCCGCCGTAGCCTGCAACTGCGCATGCGTTTCCTTAACCTTCTCCTTCTCCCGTTCCAACCTCCTCACTTTCTCCTTCTCCCTCTCCAATTCACGCTCCTTCTCCCGACGTAGCTTCCTGAGTTTCTCATGCTCGATATCACTATACTTGGCCCGTTCGTAGTCTCTCAGTTTCTCCACGCGCTCACGGTCGCGCTCTTTCTCGCGCTCCAAATCACGCAGACGGTCGATGTCTAGGGAGGAGAGTTGACTGGTGAGATCGTGGACGCTGCGCCAGGGGTCTGGTGTGGATGAGCGGCCGAGGAGAAGTGGCGAACGGCGACCGAGAGCCAATGGGTGGGCGGAGTAGCTCATGGAGCGTTCGGTGAGGAGCCTGGGCGGTTCGTGAGGTAGGAATGTAGACCAACTGTACCAACCGGCAGCTTTAAGCTCGGCACGAGCTTTGTTGACGTCGTTCTCCAATGCGCCACTGGAGTCGATCGCATCGAGAAAGCGTACGCGGTGGGAGCCCTGCTGACTCTCAAGCTTGATCAAATTCGGCGGCTCAATGGTAGTGAGGCTGATCGACGTAGTGTGGTACTCTGGATTTGAAGTATTTGGCGCTCGGACGAGAAACTTTCGCGCCCAGTCCTTAAGATCAGAGTCCGGCTCATAGCCTTTGTAGATCTCGTTGAGGACGGCTACGGGGTCTTCGTTGAGGATGCCATACGCGTTCATCCGATCGAGAGCATGACTCTTACAGTCTTCGAAGCCCATCAATGTGCCGAGCTTGGCGAATCTTACGTCAGTCAGAACGCAGGCTTCACTGGTCGTTGCTTGGGGTTTGATGATGGGTGGACCTCGACGTTCGATGCCCAGACCGGCTGCCGCAGCGGCGAATGGGCGTGGGTCAGGCCGGTAGGAGCCAGTGTGCAGAAACTCCAGGAAGCGGACGAACGTGTCTTCAGAAACTTCCTTGTGTACCTTCAGAAAGCGGCTACCCGCCTTTTCGAATGCCCTCACCACGCTCAAAAACTCCTCAATCTTGTCTCCATCAACAAGGACGGGCTTGTCCTTGTACATGAACTCGACCGACTTTGCAGAAGGCCTAAGACGTGCGCGGCGTCTCGTCTCGAGCTCATGACGCCGCTCATTGTACGTTTGGACTTCGGGCTCGCGAACGCACTTGGGCTGGTCGAACAGCGGCTTGCAAACCTTCCCGTACCATTTCTGCACTTCGCTATCGGATGGCCCCTGCACAATGCTATGGCAGTGGCTGCAATACCATCGCTCCCGGTCTTCACGCTCGACTACTTCCCTCTTTCTTGGACTGTAATACTCCTCTGCAATGTAGTGAACGTTGGAAGAGCCATGCCCATAGTTGAGAGGCGTCAACTCTCTCCCGTGCACAGCTGAGAGTTTCTTGACGGTAAACATGATCTTACCGAAATGTACGCCATGATCCAATCGTCCGTAGTCCACTTCGTCTTCTTTCTGTGTACCGCAAGCGACCAGAAGATATGCGTGTATCATGTGATGGATCAGGACAGCGACGATGTCTTTCGCCTTGGCGTATTCGAGCGCGTCCATATTCAAGACGATAGAGATGCGCTTGACATCAGGATTTGGTCCTAGTCTGTGGGTGTAGGTGGCGCCTGAGACATCGGTATCCAGTGTGTCAAAATCGAGGAAGACTGCATTTTTCAGATGACCGGCAAAGAGTACTTCATCGAGCTTGTTGAAGATACGATATGGGATCTCCTGGACTAGCCCGTCCCTCTCAAGAGTCGCAGCCCGTATCCGTATGTTCTTCAATTTATCGGCTGCATCAGCCCAATTCTGTTCCAGTCGATCAACGATGGATGCGACTGCCCAATCAATGTTCCACCCAAGATCCCTGTCGCACCTCAGGAAGGGATCTTGAAGTCGGACAGCGACGCTCGATAGCGGTCGACGATAATCATGAGTCTCGAAAGGGATGTAGAGATCTGATTCTGAATCAGAGGGGTAGGACTTTGTTCGAGCGAGCGCTGCTCCGCCAAAGAAACGATCACCATACGGCAACAACGCAAATTGATCGGGAGAGCCGAGCGTCATCGAGTAGTGAGAGTGATGTGAAGGTTCGAGAGTCTTGGCAAAAAGACAAGAAAAGAATTGATCGAACCTCTGCGGGAGTGAAGTCCCATTGCTGTTTTATAGTTGGGTCGAGCGGGAGGCCGAAGCGGATGATGGCTGCTTCCAGCCGGCGCGACGTTATCGTTGGCGGCAGCTTCTCCGTTCGGAGACTCAGCATAGAGCACGAATGATGATTAATGCGAACGTGATGCAAACGCTATCACGTATTGTTTGTCTTGGGCAAGCCAAAGATCTGGGTCCGGGCTCGTTGGGCTACGGGCGAAATGGGATATCATTGGGTCGATAC